TAATGGATTGACATTAAGGTATATGATAACTATCACACTTATTGACAGTTATAACACATCCCATCTGATGTGTTCAGATCACAGAATATGCCTAATAAAATCAAAGCAAGTTTCGGTTGAAACAGAAGGATGTTATGAGTATCGAAATGTAATGAGTGGCTATTGCACTAGGCCGTGTGGGCTCACCGTTCGGAATATCCTGCTTTAAAACTATTTGATTAGCCAACCGTATGTCCATGTCTAGCCCTGCCATCTGCAAAACGTATCCATACTGTAGCGAACGGTGAGCCCACGTGGTCTAACGTAACAGCTCCATAAAGTGTTGTAAGATTGAATTTAATAAAAAAGAAATTATATTGCATAAACGTGAATTTGCATTGTGTTTCTAGTCCTATACATGTATTCCATTAGAAAGTTTTAGAGAACGTCTTCTTTTAGACGGAATTCATAGACATATACAGTACCATTATACAAGAGATGAGCAGTCTGTAGATATTCGTTAATTGGTTATCCCACATTTGCTCCGATTCATTGCCCGGCGGCCGACAGATTAAATATTCTGTTCAAAACTGAATGCAATTGTCAGCAGGATACTCAATCGGCCGGACGCCGGCCGATAAATCTGAGCAAATGTGACCAGGTGTGAAAGAAATGATGGTCCCCCAGGGATTATGGTCCCCTTTCTTAACGGCCCTTATTGGCCCAGATTGCGTATAAGATAATGAGGGAAAGAGTTTAGGTCACCATATAAATCAATGGAGAGTAGGACCATAATTGATAGAACCTCCTACCCGTTTACACCAGGCATTAATGTTTTTATCCATCCTTGTATAGATATGCTTTCGTTGTTAATATTGATTCACTATTTTATAAATGCCTCGCATCTTATGAACTGTAGCTAGTTTTGAATAGATAACCCTGGTAAGTTCTTAAAATGCTGCAATTTCAATTAGGGGCAATTCTTCATATATCTTTTGGACATAAGTTTCAGCCAGTCTAAGATTTCCCTTTTCAATAATATGTATTATAATAGCCCCGCTTGGAATTTTAATCCTATTTCTGCAGCAACGCTAACTATACTTTATCTGTAAAATGCCTGTTTTTCATATTTATATGATTGTTCCATTGTTTCAGATGGAATTATGATAACAATTTCCATTTGCTTGAAAAAGATTTATTAAATAAGAAATATTGCAGACCAAAACATTTTGATACATATTTATATGATGAAAATGTTTAACAAACATAAATGGCCGTCAATAAACTAGAAAAATAAAATAAATTAATAATCTAAGTAGTCCTGAATGGCTTATCACCACTTTCAAGTTATTTATTCCGTGGCACTGGATTTGTTAATTATACTACGGATCGTAACTCATTATTTCGGTCATAACATGTCGAATGTCTTTAACTGGTAAATAGTGATATTACGACCTGCCCAGTTCATGTACAACTAACTTACCGCAAGTTAGTCGACAAGTGAAATGGTTCCAATAAGCGATGTTTCAAAAATATATGATTTTCTATCGTTTTACGTTTTGGCGAATATAAACTAAAGAGGTTACTTCGCTAGAGCTTTTGAATTCTTCTATTAATTGGTAAAATACTTGTTTTCTCTTCAAAGTACAGTCAATCGTATATTACATATGAATTATAAATATATACAATCAAAATCAAAACGTTAACGAACATGTATTCCAAGAACCCAATTTTCTTCAACTTATGATATTACAAGCAACACTATAATCTTACAAATCTGGACATCCTTTTCTTCATTTGATACATATTTTATAATGTAATTTACATTTTGATTGTGAAAATTCTCCCGGCGCAACGTCTGCCGGTGATCGGTTGGCAGTTGAAAAATACCGTAATCGGTAGGCACCCATAAGGTGAATCTGAACTTATGTGAGCAAAGCATAAACGATAAATCATGATCATAAATCATGATACGCAGGTAAACCGAGAATGCGAGATAAAGGTACGTTTTAATAAATCCGTAACCCAATATTTTGTAGCTCCCAGTGTGAATAACGTAATGCGTTAATTTCAGTCAAAATCAAATAATTCGATGGAACAGCATTTCCCTCTATAAACTTATCATCGGTTCAAAACCATAACATAATGGGTCAAACCTCAGGAATTCCCGGGGATCTCAGCCCCCCTATACTTTAACATGGAAAAATTGATGAATGGGGAAAAAAAATATTTCTGATCAGTTAAACAAATATGTGTCCACATTATGTAAGACTTTAGATAATTAAAGACCTAGAAACAAAATATTTTGTTTCTATAATTATATAAAGGGCATTATATTTAACCACAAAGAAAGGGTTAAACCTGAAAAACGAGTTCATCGATTCGCCAAAAAGGTTGTAGAAAAATCCATTTTGATGATTCAGAAATAATATTTTAGAATATGAAAATTCACCTCATCTCCTAAATTGTGTTACAATTTTATATTGATCATCGAAATAATAAAAAACTTATACCCATCTAAAAAGCTCTCTCTATCGAGCCTCTTCCTTTGAATGAATAGCTCTATCTCCGTGTAACAGTACTTTCAGTATTTTACCAGTTTCGCATAATCAATATTACAATTATAAATGAGAATATTGGATTAACTACCCGTCTGTCTAACATAAGATAGTAATTTTAATACTGTGGAGTTTTAATTTTGCTAATATCCGCTGTTATTATTAAGCATTAGTTTAATTAGATGGAATTGAGATTAATTTAATAGTAATTTATTGTTTTGTAAACTTTTGTTTTCCAATTACAATTAAAATCATAGGCCCCGGGAACATGTATAAAATAGCGAGTCGACATCTGTATTACTACAAGAAGAAGTAGTAATACAGATGTCGACTCGCTATTTTATACATGTTCCCGGGGCCTATGGTTTGAAATTGAAAAACATTGCAAACTTCTATTTAATATAAAGATGTCACTATTCTCTATAACTTCATAATTGTAATTCATGAATTAGATTTAGCATTATATTCTTGGATATAGACAGGCCCGTAGCCAGGGGAGGGGGTTCGATGGGTTCGCCCCCCCCCCCGGCCAAAAAGTCTTTCAAAATAATGCAGTTTTTTACCATTCTGAGCATTTTTAAGTGATTTGGGCCATTTCTGGACCAAAATTGTCACAAGTGAACCCCCAGGAATTTTTCTAAAAAATCCTGGCTACGGGCCTGATAGGATAATCATTTAATCTAGCTTACCGAATGAGCGAGCTAATCAATCTACAGCTACATCAATCGTTTCAATGACTGATCGACGTCACTGGAAATCTCAAAAATCGTACATCTTTGATTTCCAAATAATTTGTGAGGTGGTTATTAAGATGATAATACACATTTTAACGTATTAATTTAGAGTACATCTCAAATCCATTCTCAACGAAGCGTTCTCGAAATAAGTATTGGAAATGTTTGAGTTCAGGATGATAAAAGAACGTTAAGATATACCGCTCCTTAACAAATTTTTTTGGGAACAAGACATAGAATCAAAACTGCATATTCTTCGATTCTTGTTTACTCCCTGACACATGCCAACGAATATTACATATTGTAAACGTTGTTCTCTACAGGTGCCATTTTTTATAATTGAGAAACAAAATTGAACATTTAGCATTTCTAAATTGATAAGTTTCTTGGAATACAACTTAACCGTTAACGATATAAGTCATTGATAATATTTCCCTAAAGTGATCACATGCTAAATAGATAGTAACTGGGTCAATGTTTCATGTTCAACCCTTTTTCCATGACTTTCAAACATGACAATTATGTAGGAAATTTAATTCCAATGTAAGCGTGTCAACTCCTGTTTTTGCACAATATTTAGCCTTTTATAATGATAGATCGCCAAAATCTGCATGTACCTCTCATGATGAGGCGATATTTTTTAAATTTTTAGATGTAAGCTATAAACTCAAACTAAAATTCAAACCACCCGCTATTATTTTGATTGCACAAGACGAAATTTCCACTCCCGGGGAGCACTTTAGTAACACTTTGAAGGAGGATTCTTGAAAAATCGTTCGAATTTTCACAAAAGGTTTCATGCAATTTCATTGCTTTGTTTAAGCCTCGACTAATATCATACTCAAATCCGATACCATAATTATAAATTTGAGTTAACTGCGGATATTTATATGAATGTAAGTCGGCATGTATTCGACAGTTAATGTATCAACGTGTGACTTAAATATCAATTCGTGGCTATCATATTTGGCTTTCAAAAGTTAAGTTGGAAGTTACAGTGGTTGGGGATTAACGAAAACGTCAATCACATCCAAATATCCAAACGACGTCAAGTATTAACAATACACTTTCGTGTATCTTGAACAAGGCAAGGTTCTTTGATCCAGCAATGTGTATTCCGAAAGAAAAAATTCACAAATATCAACAAATTTTATTGAGTAGGAGATTACATTCGAAATCACAACTTTCAAAATATTTTTTTAACCAAGAATTGTAAGAACTTGAAACATGTTGTTAGTTTTTCCAAACCGCATATCCTCATTTACGTTCTTTGACAAGAATGAATCCATTTGAAAACATTGATTTTCTTGATTATTCTTCAAAACTACCCTTGAAATATAAGTACTAAGTATATAGGATATTACAGTGTAAATTGACACATTTGTTTGCTCCATATCATGAAAAAATAAATGCAGTACGTACCATCTTTCAATATTCGAAAACAGAAAGTTCATTCTGTATGTAAACACGAAAAAAACAATTGGTTCATAATGAAAAATGACAAATAACACACATCTTTTGAAGTAGGGGTATACAGGAACATAGTGGAAATTTCAGAAATTTAGGCCATATCCCCAAGATTGCTTCACCAATATTTAACAGAACATCAAAATCATCATTTACACGTTTGATGATAGGTTCATTGAAAATAATTAACCAGAGGTTTACTTCAAGTGTGGCAACATTCTTAGTATATATTGATGAACATACGAATATCGAATGTTGACTAAGTTACTAGACTTGGTCGATAACAGATGAGCCGAATATGCACATGTGTTTAATGATTGTGATGTTTGGTCAGGTTTTGTCAGGTTTGATACTTTTAAGAGTACGCAATGAAGGAAGTACTTAAAAAGCTGTGAATAAATGGAATTTACAAAAAGGATTGGTATCGATATGGTGAACTGAATTCAACAATGTTTTTCTCTTAAACCAATTATTGAAAACATTCTGTAAAAACACGATCTTTTATGTAATGTTGACTGAAAGACAACAATTTAATGCGAAAATAATTTATACATATTTTATATTACTGTTTCTATTAACATTTTTTGTTTTTTTAGTGCAACTGTTTTTTGTTCCTTTTTACCATTTTTTAATAATGAAATAAAATATCTTTCCGAAGCTTGTTGGAACAAAATAGCAGATACAACATTTTCTTAGACCTCTCAATATTATAGTAATATGCAATGGAAATTTTGGTTGGTTTAACAAAAAATATTCAAAAAATTAAAGCAAAACCCCCCAAAATAGATAAAAATTAAGATAAACCTTTTATTTCATTAACAAGATACTTTTTTTAAATCAACCAAACTTTCCTTTGTACAATTACAATATTGAGAGACCTAAATACATTGTGTTTATGTATTTTTGTTCCAATGAGGTTCGGAAAGATGTTTCATTTCATTCCGAACATATGATACCAAGAACAAAAGAAGTGTCTGCTGTGTTTTCTAAAACAAAATAGAGAAAAGTACTATATGTATTCAAATCATATTGTTACCATTTAAAAGATGACCATTAAATTGACAATGTGTAAGATTTTCAGAATTTTTCGGTGACTGGTTAGAGAAATGTGTGTTAAAAAAGTTTACCATATCGATACCCATCATTTACTGCATAATCATATCATAAGAAATTGACTTTTAGACATAAGTATAAGTTTACACAAATACATAAAAATTACCATTACCATTATCACGTTCCAGGATGTAAAAGACTGGCCTGTGAAGAAGACAAAGCCATTGCAGAATTGACTTTAAAATGCCAAGAACATAACACGATTCGGGTAATAAGAGTAAAGAACATTGCTGAAAGAACGTGCAAAGGAGTTAAAATATGTGAAGTACAGATCCAGTATCCAAGAAATCTAAAATCTAAATGTGATTATCGAACTGAATGTCCATTTGAAAAGGTAACGGAAGAAGATGGGCATTATAGACAATGTAAGACATACGATGAAGACGGGCATATAATCTGGCATAAAACAACATCACAAGAAGTCTGCTACAGCTGCAATCCTTTAATTCTTACGACAGAGATACCTAGTAAGTTATTCAATCCTATAATTTATGTGCTGGGAACAACTTGAAACGACTTGTACGTGAATAGAGGAGTTTCTAAATGATTTTGAAATCTCGCTAATTCTCGTTTTTTCATGAGATTTTAAGAGATTTGCACATTTTACATCCAATGACTTACTTTTCTTTCTTTCTAATAGCATATTTGAATTCAGTGATATGTTTCCTACAATAATAGCCTTGATTTACACATTTATGTCATTTAAATCATTCTCCATGACATTTATAAAAAACTTGGGCCAAATTTCCATTGATGTTATGCTAAAATTCTTTAAAACCATGGTTTAATCGACAACCAACATTGTTATGTTTAATCACAATATCTTCATTGACAGGGTCATTTAATAGTATGCCATTCAAGTTTCAGACAGATTTAACTAACACTCTTTGATAAATCATGAAAATAAGTGACTATTGCAAGCTTTAAGCATAGAACTCAATGGAAGGTTGGCCCAAGATGAACAAAGGTGACATCTATTATGTCAGCTTTATTTAGCTATTTAGAAACTATACTATTAGGACTTGAACGTAGAATAATGACCATCTTCATAATATTTACTTGTCCAATTGAGTATAAAAAGATTAAAATATATTTAATGAAATATAACATCCCATATCGGCCGAATCTAATTTTGATAGCACATTACAAAAACTCCAATTTTGTTGATAATCTCAATTAAAATAAATTAACCCATATCCACGGTGTAGAAGCATGCCGCGCCGGGGATTGAACCGGTGCGTCACGTTTAAATTGTAACGCATCGGAGTGAATAAGAATGGCGGACGAGGAAACAGAGACGAAGGGTGTATGAACTTTTGATTTCCTACGTTTCGTGATTAGAAAGGACACAAGCAGCATAATTTTTTATATCTTTTATTCATTTTATCAAGTAAATAGAGTATTCCTAGGTTTTGCTGACAGACACCTTATCAACTTGAACATTATGCCAGTATATAAAATTCTGCAAGTTAAGGTTCCAAATGGTGGTCAATTCAATAACATATCTATAAATCTTTTAGTGACGCACCGGTCATACAAGGCCAGTATTCAGAAACGCACCGGGGTATGTTGATTATATGATCTTTTTACATTCATAACAGGGTAAGGGTGTTTTGGAAGCTCTTTCGTGTGTCATGTTCATCCAACAACACTCTGAATTCTCAATTGAAATATTAACGTTAGCAGAGTAGAACGCGTAATCTGACTAATAAATATATTAACGTTTACAGAGTAGAACGCGTAATCTGACTAATTAATATATTAACGTTTACAGAGTAGAACGCGTAATCTGACTAATTGATATATTAACGTTGACAGAGTAGAACGCGTAATCTGACTAATTAATGTATTAACGTTGACAGAGTAGAACGCGTAATCTGACTAATTAATGTATTAACATTGACAGAGTAGAACGCGTAATCTGACTAATTAATATATTAACGTTTACAGAGTAGAACGCGTAATCTGACTAATTAATATATTAACTTTGACAGAGTAGAACGCGTAATCTGACTAATTAATATATTAACGTTTACAGAGTAGAACGCGTAATCTGACTAATTAATGTATTAACATTGACAGAGTAGAACGCGTAATCTGACTAATTAATATATTAACATTGACAGAGTAGAACGCGTAATCTGACTAATTAATGTATTAACATTGACAGAGTAGAACGCGTAATCTGACTAATTAATATATTAACGTTTACAGAGTAGAACGCGTAATCTGACTAATTAATATATTAACTTTGACAGAGTAGAACGCGTAATCTGACTAATTAATATATTAACGTTGATAGAGTAGAACGCGTAATCTGACTAATTAATATATTAACGTTGGCAGAGTAGAACGCTTAATCTGACTAATTAATATATTAACGTTGATAGAGTAGAACGCGTAATCTGACTAATTAATATATAAACGTTGACAGAGTAGAATGAGTTAGTGAGCTGTTAGTGAGAAGTGAGGCTATTAAGGTAGACATAGAACAATGAGTAATCTGGAGAATGGGGATAGATGGGGTAAATACTGTAAATCTGGCTTATGATGAAAAGATGTAAGAAATGTAAAATGAGCTTTGAAACATATTAAATTAAAACTACTAATTAGTTTTTAATTGCATACATTTAGCTAAATTAATATAATTTGTCATTAATTAGGTAAAAACTATAAATCATAATAAAATATTTGTTCACCACATGTGCGTTGGTATTAGATAAAACTTTTGCGAATACTGAATATTTTCGAATATCTTAAGAGATGAACTCCATAAAAACTGTACAACTGTGTTCAGTGAATACCTTAACACATTGCTACACTTTAACAAATGAATTTGAATTTATGTAACAGTATTGTTAAAAAAGATATATCATACTGCAAAAAATAAATAAAAGTAAAATAATCATAAAAAAAAAAAAAAAAAAATGGTACGAAAAGGGTAACACATGCCTACTCTACGACTTACTCCTACAACGATCAGTGATATTGTTGGCAGGGTGGTCATTAGGGTGGCTCAAAACAACAATATTTTTTTAGAAAAGTCATACTCTGGACATGAATTAGGTTTCCTTTTGGAAAACTTCGAGGGCTGTGAGGATAAGCAAAAGACAAAAAATTGAAAATAATCACACATCAGTTTTACCCAAAAAAGGAACCCGAATTCATGTCCGGGGTATGGATTTTTCAAAAAGTGTTAATTTAAGCCACTCTAGCGATTATTTCCACCCACCATTTTTCTTAACCCAGTGCGTTACACTGTTTGAATAGGATAGTTTCTAAATAGCAGAAAAATCAATAAAATCTAGTGCTGCCATCTTTTATTAAAGGTTTTAATTTGGCTAGAGTTCCATTCACTTCCATGCAAAAATCTTGGAAAAGTGGCTTAATTTCATAATTTATCAAAGTGTGTCAGTTGAATCTGTATAAAACTTGGATGCCACATGATGACCCTTTCTATGTAAATGTTATGATTAAACATGCAAATGTTGATTGACATACAAATAATCCAAGGTTTTAAAGAATTTTAGCATTGGATCTATGGATATTTGGCCCAAGTTTTTTTAAATTGTCATGGAAAATTATTCAAACGATGTGTTATGTGCAACGATGGAATAGAGGATGAATACCATGTATTGATGACGTGTAATGCTTATAATTGTGTCAGACTTGAGTTGCTTGAGAAAGTAACAAGTATAATATGCAATTTTCAGGCATTAGACTCTGACATCCATTTTTTAAAACTCATGAGTGATTCACGCATCTACCAACACGTTGCCAGAGCCTGTGGTCGGATGTTAAAATTAAGAGAATGTGCTATTTTTAGATAGTTTTACAGACTTTTAATTAATGACTATTGCTATTTATTGAATTTTTACATGCCAGTGTCTTATAGGTCGATGACGGCCTGGATTATTGTTGTTTTATGAATTTTTAGTGTATTTATTAACCATGACACTTAAATAAAATAAATATAATATAATATAATACAATTTTGACTTCACACAAACCAAAAGTTTAACAACCCGACAAATCAAAGACTCGATCAAGCCATCAACGGGGCATTATCGCCGTGCGTTAACCAATGGAAAACCCACATAGTAGTTCATTTACGGAGACACAGATATGCAGAATCGTCAGTATATAACATGTGTCACTTACTTTCTCAGCTATTATGCAATCGTTTCCTGACTGATCGATGTCACTAGATTTGTTGGATTTGTTTCATATAAGTATATTTGCCGACACGTCTAACAACAGATGAGCCGAATATGCACATGGATGCGTTTATGATTATAATGTTCGGTCAGGTTCTGTCAGGTTCGATACTTTTAAGAGTACACAATGTAAGAAGTACTTAAAAAGCTTTGAATAAATGGAATTTACAAAAACTTACTGCATAATCATTTCAATAAAAATTGACTTTTAGACATAGCATATATGTATTAGTAATAAGTATACATACATATATACATAAAAATGATCATTATCATAATCATATTTCAGTATTAAAAGACTGGCCCGACGAATCAGAGCCTCGATCAAGCCATCAACAGGGCATTATCGCCGTGCGTTAACCAATGGAAAACACACATAGTAGTTTATTTTACGAAGACACAGATATGCAGAATCGTCAGTATATAACATGTATCACTTACTTTCTTAGCTATTATGCAATCGTTTCATGACTGATCGATGTCACTAGATTTGGTGGATTTGTCACATATAAATATTTGCCGACACGTCTAACAAAAGATGAACCGAATATTCACATCTATGTGTTTAATGATTGTGATGTTTGGTCAGGTTTTGTCAGGTTTGATACTTTTAAGAGTACGCATTGTTAGAAGTTCTTAAAAGCTTTGAATAAATGGAATTTACAGATATTTACTGCATAATCATATCAATAAAAATTGACTTTTAGACATAGCATACATGTATAAATAATAAGTATACATACATAAAAATGATCATTACCATTATCACGTTCCAGAATGTAAAAGACTTGCCTGTGAAGAAGACAAAGCCATTGTAAAATTGACTTTAAAATGCCAAGAACATTACACGATTCGGGTAATAAGAGTGAAGAACATTGCTGAAAGAACGTGCAAAGGAGTTAAAATATGTGAAGTTCATATCCAATATCCAAGGAACATCAAAAGGAAATGCAATAATCAAACTGAATGTTCACTTGAAAAGATAACGGAAGAAGACGGGCATTATAGACAATGTAAGACATACGACGAAGACAATATAATCTGGCATAACACAACATCACAAGAAGTCTGCTACAGCTGCAATCCTTTACCTACGACAGAGATACCTAGTAAGTTATTATTGTAACTTTGTACTGGGGATTAACTCGAAACGACTTGAACGTGAATTAGGACTTGAACGTAGAATAACTAGATAATGGTAACTTCGCGGAGCAGCAAATCCCAACGAACAAAATATCAATTACCGAATTCCAATCAATTATACTCATTACTTTGGATAACATTGAAAAATTTAGATTTTAGAATTGCGAATTCCTGCAAAGCAGCCATTTTGAATTTTCTGAGGTACAATTCTGAAAAATAATACCATAATTGTGATCTACTCCAAAATTCCTTCAATTTGAGTATTATATAACCATACGTTGAAGGGATCGAAAAATTATTGCGAAATCGTACATTAGACGGCCATTTTGAAGTTTACGAGGCTTGAATCAGATAAAAGATACAATATTTGGAACCTACTCTTAATTGCCTTTCATTTGAGTATAATAAAGCTATACTTCAGAAAGATCTAAAAATTAGCGAAAATTTCTGTTTTCCTGACCCCCCATACACGGCCCCTTGGGGTCAGGATGAAAAACACGGAATATATTTGAAATAGATAGATGTTGCGAATATACTACCAAAATTTCAAACAATAATATTAATTACTTTGGTTTAGAATGAAAAATTTATGATTTTTGCGAAAAAGTTCCGTCATTTTTAAAGCGGCGGCCATCTTGAAAATTTTTTTTTGCGTAAAACTATTCATCAATATACATCTTTCCACCAAATATGAAGAAAATCCGTTGACTAATATTTGAGTTATCTTCCGGACGGACGGACAGACGGACAGGCGGACGGACTGACGGACTGACGGACGGACGAAGGGCGGGATTAGTTCTCCCCTTCGTAGTATTTACTTGCCCAATTGAGTATATAAAAAGATTTGATATAATTATAATTAATTATATTATATTTGATATAATATAACATCTCATATCGGCCGAATCCAATTTTGATAGCACATTATAAATAACCCAATAATCTTAAATAATATAAACTCTGATGCTTCTACACCATGATATGAAATACTTACGTATTAATAGTATCATTCGAACATCAAAGTTTTTTTTTCATTTTCAGCAGGGAGTACATCTTACAACCCTAGAAAAATTGAAGAAACTACAGATTGTGCCCGATACGACAATACAATAAATATACTTTTGTATATGTGTGTTTCTGGAATTGTATTTTTATTGGGGGGTTTCATGATCATGTGCAGACGCTTTCGAAAACGGATAAGGCAAATTGAAATGGACCATGCTGAAAGCCATTGAAAATCTTGTTGAGATAGTCTTCGCTAACATCGCTAATATGACAGACACATATTTAGCCCAATAAATTGGAAATTGTATTATTTGCGAAACAATTTAATAAGACTCAAAGTAAAAATCTTGATCATATATTGTCACAACAGGTAACAATAAAAATTGACAGACCAATTTCATTATATTTTAACCCGAATAATCCGCGTACATATAGGATAGTGGAAACTACAAACAATAGTTTACAGTGCATCTGAGTCCTGGAATTTATGGGGAATAATAGCCGAGGGCCTTTGCCGTGCCCCGAAGAGGCTATTAGTTCTTCCAAGACCCAGTACGGATGGTTTATCTAACTGAAACCCTACACTGACTCTTATGAAAGAGAAATTGCCCATGATCCAGTTTTAAGAAAAGTTGATCCATTTTCTATTGACAATTGACAATCCCACGATACCTAGTTGCTAGATTGTCCCCTAATAGCTTGTGTTAAATGAAGCGAGCTGATTTGTAAACTTGCTTCAACCTGGAACCAGTTTGAAAAATAAACGGTACGTTTTTATTAAACAAAAATACAACGCATAATCTTTTCCGAATTGATGAACGTGGTCCAATTCATCGAAATTCATGATTACAATTCAATTTACACTTATAGTTTTGGCATAAAATGACCCCTGCAAAAGATCTTGAAATATCTTTAGAGTTTACTTATTTTTTCAGTTTGTTCTCATTTTCATGCAAATTATACGAGAATAAAATGCATAATGTACAATAAATTGATCGGGAGATAGTATCCCTTGATTCCCAGTTGTTGGATTGTCCTTTAATAGCTTATGTGTTAAATGAAGCGCGCTGATTTGTAAACTGGCTCCAACTTGGAGCCAGTTTTGGAAAATGAACGTTGCGCTTTTATCAAACAGTACAATGCATAATCTGTTCTGAATTGATGAATGTGATCCAATTCATCAATTTTTATGCTTACCCCCCTATCACACCAAACTAGTTCTTACCCGTTCTTGCCAGTCCTACGAAAATGTCGTAAAACGGGCTCAATCTGGCTGCGATCGGGATATATGTCTAAAATAATTAGCTACTTCGTTCATAAACAGTCTTCAATACGTCCATCTCATTCGCAGTTCGTTCAGGTCGCACCACTTCGGTGTGCAACGTAGTATAAACCGTCCCTTAGTCTAGAAGGTCATCATGACCTGATTACAGAACGGTATAGTCGCCATCGAATTTTGAATCGATTCAAAATTGTAAATCACAAACCCCGTTCGGGAAAGTCCATGAAGTTCGTAAATAGACCGTAGAACGTTGTAGCTACGTTCATTCAGTTCGCACACAGTTTAAAACCGATTTGGCAACGATTTGAACAACGCAGTGACAACTGGTCCTGGTGTAATAGCTATTTTTGTAAAATCGTTCATAAGCAGTTTTTAATACGTTCATCTCGTCTTTATTCCATCTGCAGTACGTTACCATCAAGTTTAGATCGGGTTAAATTGTGCGTTCGTCTCGTCTACACAACGTATCCAAGCAGTTCAATTACGTCCTTTAATCAGTTTAGACCAGTTGACAATTTGTTGTACCTCGTTCTCAATACGTCCTAATATGTTACTGAATTATCCACCTAATTTCCAAACGGTTGAACTCCTTCTAAAATAGTAAACATCGTGTCCCTTATCCGTGCAGAACGCATTTATAATCCCCTTTTTCCTGATTGCGGTACTCACGGCTGCAATTTACGCCTGACTACACAACGTCGTAATACGTCCCTAGTAGGATTGAAGTACGACACTTCCGTTCGTAGTGTGTCCCCAGTGCGTCCAGGTCGTCTTAAGTACGTTGTCACTCGTTCCGATTGCAGAACGTGACGATCACCAGAAAATTTTGAGCATGCTCTAACTTCTGGAGGACCTTCTCGTTCGAGTAGTTTCATGAAGTTTGTAAACAGATCCCAAACGGTTCTTAGTGGGTTCTTAGTACGTCAAATCCGTTCGTGCACAGTTTAAGCCCGTTTTCGAGAACGTAGTGAGAACTAGTTTGGTGTGATAGTAGGGTTAGAATTTAATTTACACTTATAGTTTTGGCATAAACTGAAATGACTTCTTGCAAAAAAATCTTGAAACATCTCAAGAATTTACATATTTTCAGTTTGTTTTCATTTTCATAAAAGATATGCGAGAATAGCACGCATTACGCGCGGATCACCATAATCGTGAGGCATGTCCCATGATTTCCAGTTGCAAGATTGTCCCTCTATAGCTTGTATTAAATGAACCGAGCCGATTTGAGTCAGTTTTGAAAAATGAGCGCTATGTTTTTATAAAACAGAAATACAATGTACCATGTACAATGCATAATCTGTGCTCAATTGATGAATGTGACCTGATGAATATATGATTAAAAATACCAAAGATTATTTTGCTTAACTGTTGTTTCCAAAGCTAGCTTTCAAACTGATTTTTAAAAAGCCGGCTTTTAAAAACTGGCTTCTTGGTGACTGCAGAAGCCGGCTTCTGTAGTACGTCAGAAGCCGGCTTTTGAAAACTGGGTTCTTGGTGACTGGAGAAACCGGCTTCTGTCAGTTGTAAGAAGCCGGTTTTTAAAAGCTGGCTTCTTGGTGACTCCAGAAGAAACATGATGCATAATGTATTCTAAATTGATGAACTTGATCCAATTCATCTATTTTTATGCTAAGAATTGAATTTACACTCATATTCTTGGCAAAAAATAGATAAAATGAGCGTAGCGTTTTTCGTAAACAGAAATAATGATCTCAATTGCTGAACGCGCGGCTGCTTGTGTTTAATGGATTTTTATGATAAGAATACGTAAAATGAGAAAACCACCTTAAATATTTTCAGAATCCATGTAGTTTTAGACTTCTATTTCTGTGAAAAACATCCAAAAATAGCATGCATAAATATATCATTATAAACTATATTTAAAAGCCAGCTTCTTTAGTACGTCAGTAAGTAAGCCAGTATTTAAAAGCCGGTTTCTTGGTGACTCTAGAAACCGGCTTCTGTTGTAATTTTTAGTACAGCAAAGATGAACCAAACAATATTTTCAGATATTTTTGCATGGTAATTTAGGATAAGCGTGTAAGTTTACTCCCCAATAATGAATATTTAGTTCAGTCTAGCCTTTTTAATGCTTTAACTCTTTTTTATACCACGTATCTATTTAGGATCCGCGCATTTAACCCATTTTACCGAAACGCATTGCACCGAAAACCATTGTACGGATGGGGGTATACCCTGAACTGCAAAGTGGAATATCAAGTCCGAATTCTTCCAATGAAACATGCGTTCACAGTGTCAAGTAAGCGATATTCGTGTCTCGCTTTATTACAATGTCGTTACCGATAAAGCGATTTGCAGGACTGTTTTCAATATCCTAAGATTGCCATCATTTACCGTGACTACCGTACATTTAACGTTGTTTTTAAGCAATTTCACTTCTTTTCTCGAATGCAATTGCAGACTTGGCGCTGATTGAGAAGTTGTCGAAATGAACGCCCGTGGGCTTTATAACAAGCGACATTAGATATTGCTTTCTTAATTGTTTACATAGTACTCTAGCTAAGAATGCAATTTTTCATTGTATGCTACAAATCTGCTACCAATATATTTTCCCGTTTTTGGACACACGAGTTCTTATTTTCAAGCTGCAGAAACATACCTAGACATTAAGGCTGACAAAAAATCTTCATTTGCTGACTGATGATTCAGTCAGATCATCAGTCTTTAGAACTAATATTCAGACTGATGAACTTCGTTCTCAAAACCGAGACTAGTCTGTTCATATTTGATCAGATATCCTGAGGGAAACATTGGCATAGTTTCTGAAAATTGTTTCGTGTCTGTTATTTGCTACCACTTTCATACCAACCGTACTTATACAATACGAACTATTTTCTCTTTATGTGAATTATCCATTAACTTCATTGCCGATGTTAAATAAATAACGAAATGTGAAACGAGTAAATATGCAATCCTTTGTGGGTTGTGAAATCCGGTTATCATTTTATTACTTAAATGATAAATAATTCACTGCCAAAGAACGTCACTCAATCAATTTGTAAGGCATTAATGTATTATGACCATATTAAACTACCCTGCATTCAGAGTCTAGTAATAAACTAGACGAAACTCTTTTTTTAAGAAGTGAAGTCGAATGAATGTAAAAGGTAATATTTAACTAGTGCAGTCGTTGAAAAGAACTTCATTTGAAAGATGTTCATCGTAAACCATTATGGGTTGATATGGGTCTTCGTAAACCCCTCTCCAAAAGCTTAGAAACACCCGACATCTTCATCGGTCCATGTGGTACATATAAAGCTTGTTCAAGTTTTAAAAGTGATATCAGAAGAGTTTTTAGTCATTTATTTTCGACCTATTGAAAATCCAAAGGCTTTAGCACGCTATGCAACGCTAAGTCAGAGTTACCAAACTCAAGAATATATATAGTCATGTTCAAGGGTAAATAGTTCGCCGCCCACGTATGTTCTATCACATACTTATCTAATGATTAAATCATGGGCATTTTATATGGACTGGCGTCAGGGGCGTAGGAAGGTGTAAATGCAACACTACGCCAAAAATCCCGCCAAAAAATATGAAACAATTGTGTCAATATTCTATAGCAAAACGCCTATATTATGCTTGTAAAACGTCATTTTATGGTAACAGAGATTTTAAGCTTGCAATGTTTTTCACAAACTAAATGTGAACGGAAATACTTAAGCGATGCAATTATATGGGCGATTGGGCATACGTATAGGTTGGCGTTTCGATTTTATATGCAAGCTTTAAATCCCTGATACCTTTTTAATGTGCTTTAAAATGTTCGAATGATTTTCATCATTTAAAATCACCTTGGAAAGCCTATCTTTTAAATCACGACACAAATCATTCTCACTTTGCTAATGTCTCGAACGATTGAGACGACCAATTTCCAAAAAACAATTAGAGATTTTTTAATCATTTTCGAATAATTGAATTAAGATATACAGATATATAGTATTGTCTGATTCCATCGTGTACCATGCAA